ATCCTTTCATATACGCTATTTATGTTTTAGGAACTAAAGTGTAATATATATTATCAAGTACACACACATACACACATACTTATTTAAAAATTTACTATGCAATCCTTAGTAAGATAAATTCCACTGACATCCTTCTATTCCTGCGCTATCAGCAACCATGGTAAAATTGAAATAAGAATTTGAATAAAAATAAGCTCTCCGTATACTTACTTGTGTGACTTGAGAATTAATATATTACAAAAGACAACTATCTCTTCGAGTACCTAGATGCAAATACAACGTTCCTAGGTTGCTCCAAGCTATCGCGTTATTCGGCTCTCTGTCAATGGCCATGACAAAACAGTGTTGAGCTAAGGCGTAGTTTTTCACATTTTGCGACACGCAAATGACACCTAGCAGGTTCCAATGTAACCATGACTGTGGACAGAGTTTGATCGCTTGCTTTGCAGCAGCGAGACACTTGGCCGTCACATCGCTCTTATTGATCGTGGAATTACGCTGCAATTGCATCGAGTAACAACACGCTAAATCGTGCCATAACAACGCAGAATTCTGTGCGAGCGACAGCGCCCGGCAAAAACACCTGGAAGAAATAAAATGTTAATTTTTTATTAAAAGTATTCATAAGTAATCAATTATTTCAAAATGAAACATCTTAAAAACTATAGGTAAAATTTTTATTTTTAATTTCAATGATATAATAAGTTGAATACCTTTACCCATACAAATAGCACATTAAGAAAATGTCGTTTACATAGTACACAGCTCAAGTGGAAACTAATAGATTTTGTAAATATTTCATTTCTTATGGATATCTCTAAAGCTTGATCTATAATGTGTTCTTTGTATCTTTCTCTTTATCTCTTTCTGATTCAAACCTTAAGCTTTAAGCCAGAAAAAGAAAGACAAGAACACAAAAAGCACATTGTTGATCAGGCTTAATGTTTATTCAAAAACAGAAAGCAAAAAGCATAAAAAAGCATTTAAAAGCAGAAAGAATAAAAAAAAATTATTGAAGAATAAAGAAAAGATAGATTCGTTTATATTTATTTTTGATTCAAGAACAATTGACTTGAAAGTAATATTCACCTTATAGCTAATTTGAGCGTTTCGTCTCCCTTAATTTTGATGTGCTTCTCAGCACTATCGGACTTTATCAAAATAGGCTTCACTTTCAAGTAGCAATGCTTCCTCGGCATAGCGGCTATTCTGTAACACACATCACCGAGCAATTTCCAATTGCAGGACAGATCGCTGCGTAGCATAACAGCACTCGTCAGATTATCCGCTGCTTGTTGCAGATTTTCTCTCGTTCGACTTAGGAAATGTTTCGCGATGTTCTCTTTCGCCAGACCTAAACATGCCTGAGCTAGACCTTTTAATGCGGGTACATATTGCTCATCGTTTTGCAATATGTTCTCAAAATCCTCTTTAGCTTCTTTGTGTTGGCCGATTAGCTGAAAGAGGAATATTGCTATTATTGTTACGAAAGATTTTAGTCTTATGGAACATAATTTGCTATTTTTCAAGAAACTAATTCAAGACAGTTTTTAACTTACATTTTAATAAACTGTACTTACTAGTTTAATATTTGCAAGTTGTATTATAGGATACAAGGATCCCGGTGAAAGTTGTAAAGCGCGTTGATACGACTTCAGTGCGGACATATGAGCACCGCGCACCAAATACGCGTCCGCCAGAGACTCCCAACTGTGGCTACGAAAAACAATACAAAAGATTAATGAGGCATGTCGCCGCGATTTGCAACGCGATTAAATAACGGCGAATTATGATATACTTGTCGTTGGGGTCGGCTCTGATAACGTGCTGCAATGCTTTGATAGCTTCTCCCGCATTACCATCATCCAAGTGTTGCAGACCCAATTGAAGCCAAGCCCACTTCGGACCGGTACCTTGCATGGTCACTTTCTGTAGCAGCTGTATGTTAGCGTCCTAACGCAAGAAAGACGATTAGTCGAAACTTGAAGCAATCGAAATAATTCGACAGCACCAAAATGATTTCAGCAGAAAAGAATTTTATTATGAAAGATTTAAAAAATTCATGAAGAAATAAGTATTATATTTTAGGTTTCCGGAGTGTAAGGAAATGCTTGATTTAGTTTCCAAATTGGTGCCGCGTCTTTCATAAATTTAAAACAAATCTAAGATATGGCGCCATCTCAGAGACCGAAGCAACCTAGAAACTGCCGTAAGCAAATAATATATTTTTCAAGACAAAATAAACTAAAAAAGGTAACACACAACTGCATTCTTTTGCGGTTTTCATTGCTGCCGTCGAGTCGTTCGCGTCGCGGACAAAGGACTCCCCAATTTGTACAAACACTCACAGTATTCTTCAGCATTCGATAAGCAGTGCTCAGTCCGATTCCAGCCTCCTCGGAGTTTGGATTGATTTGCAATGCCGTCTGGTAACATCTCCTCGAGAGTTTCACGTCGTTCACGCATTCGCGATAATAACGTCCCAGGTGAATCATGCATTCCCAATTGTTACGGTCCGCCTTGACACCATTCAAGAAAGCCACTAGGCTGTGATTATAGTCACCCATATCCCAGTATATTTGACCAAACAGCAGCCAAGCTTCAGAACTTTCCAGAGCCAGTTCAAGGATATTGATAGCTTCCTCCAGCTGCCCGTATTTCTTCAGATACGACGCTTTGATGATAAAAGCTTGAATCTTAATCTCGTCCTGGGACTCTAAATCGCCTAATGCGTCGATAGCATTCGGCTCGTCCAACGAAATGTTTATTCGGGCGTGTATCAGTTGTAGTTGCACGGAGAGGTCATTTTTTAACAACTATGCACAAATTTATTGATAAATAACTTCAAAGAATTTGTTAACGTTAGATATTGCAATACTCACTTCTTCACATAGCTCTCGCGCCTTTAATAATTTCCGCCTGTCGCTACTTCTACTCATTGCTTCAAGTAACGTCAATTTAATTTTATGTTGCAATTGGTCCTTCAGAGAAGATTTCAGCAATCGTAGTGCTCGTCTGGAAGAGTCTTCAACCTCCTCCCAGCAATATAACTTGCAGTAAACTTTGTTTAACAAGAACCAAGCATAAAATGATTGTACATTTAGCAAGATTACTTGATTTAAACATTCACGAGAGTCAATCAAGTTATCTGTATGCATCAAATATGTTGCCTTTGCAATTAATGCCATTTCAGAGTTCATATTCAACTTTAAGAGAGACTCACAGAAACAAATTATATCTATTTCAAGTTCATTTTCATTTAATACAGTCTCTTCATAATATACACGGCATATCCATTCTGTAAAATAAAAAGAACATATTATTCTATTGTAATACATTAATATTCTGCAAATTTTATTAAGAATTGACTCACCTAAAGGAAGATTGTTCTGTGGAAACTGGGTGTGCATTTGCTGGGCTTCTACTAATAAAACTGTAAATTTTTTTGCATCATACAATATCTTCAGATACTTTCTATAATACTCATGTCTATTCACTAGATCTACATCCCCTACTACAGATGCCAATACATTCTCAAAAAGCTCCTGATACTTGTGCAGAGTACTAGGATACTCTGTTAAAACCTGTGCTAGAGTCTTGTTGATTAAACTTGTCTTTTCTTTGGTAGGAAGTTCTCGCAATATACTCAATGTATCCAACACCTCAGACAGTACTTCATCATCGTTGACTCTCAGAACAATTTCGGAAACTTTGTTTAAAAAATGCATGAACTTGGGAGAATCACTAAAATTGCATTACAATTCAATTTTCCAATTATCCTTTCTACAATTCAGGATATCTTAAGAATTATATACAATCTTACTTATCTAACTGTAAGAGTTTGCAATAAATTACAGCCAACTTTTTCCAATTATCATTATCCTCTGGTGCTTTTTCATAGTGTGCTGCTAAACCTTGCCAAGCCAATGGATTAGTTGGTTGGATCTCTACAGCTTTTTGTAGAACCAGTGCTACTTGCGACTTGAATTCTTCCACTTCCTGCATAGCAGCAGCTAGCAGAACCAATGCTGCATAATTATTTTTAACGTTCTTCAAGATTTTCTTGCATTTTTTCATTGTTTCCAAATATTCATGCTGCTTGAAGGACTCTCGAGCTTCCTTCAGTAACATCTTTACTTCATTAGACATTTTTTGTCTTCTAATAAAATTAAATGTCAAGATTACATATCAAAATAATACTTACAGCAGTAATTACAAAAAAAGCACCGTATACATGATTATGTTTATGATAATAAATTATATGATAGTAACTAAAAATAAATGCGAGAAGAGAGGAGAGGGGGAAGACACACGAAGACGCCTTCGATGATGATGACAGTATCTTAATAAATCCGACATGCAATTTTATAAAGTTTCGCGATAGTAATAAATATTTGGAAGATATAAACAGTCGTAATTGCTAACGACACGTACCAAAATTTATAGCTGACTGGGACAACGCGTAATATAGGTTAGAATCCACTTGACGTTGCAAAGTTTTTGCAAGAGTTTTGAAATGTCGTATACTGTACGATCCACTTAAAGCTACAAACGTTTCAAGGCGCATCAAGAAAAATATAAACTGTTCTTTTTACTGAACTAGTGTATAATCGTGAATAGACAGGTTGTTCTAATAATGTATACATATATGACAGCTTCATTCCTTGCTATAGCAAAGATATATGAATGCTTGATCTATGTTTAACGTTATTACCTGTTGAATCCTACTTATAGATCTATTCGAATATTAAAGATCTATATTATATATATAACACGAATTATATAAATTTTCAGTACTGACATTGAACATATATGTGCGTATGTATGTTATATATAGCGACTGAAAAGTTAAAACTCCATCCATATGTTATTCGAACATGTGAATATCGAAATATAGGTTATGCTTCAATGTTTATTATAGTTTAAAAGATATAGTTTATGTCACGTATATTATAGATCTTCAGCGCTGTCAGTCATTTTGAAACACAGCCATAATCTATAAATACCAACCTATGTATTACGTCATTGGTTTTCCGCTATTTTTGTGAGTTTCAAAACGCATTTGTCTCGTCCAATAAAGGAATCCTGTTATTGGAAAATAAATTTTTCCATTGGATAAGACGAATAAGCTTGGTAGAAAAAAAAGAAAATAGAACTAATGCATGTTAATGCAGAGAAAAAGAACAGACTATCTGATTGGTCTATTGCTACTTATTGACCAATCATAGTCTCTCTTCCTACCCGTAGCCAATGAAAGTATCCGAGCCTACGTTCTGACATAGCCGCGTTCCGATATTTATTACTAGTTTTGAAAGCTATAATATACGTGATATCAACTATAGATTTTTAGTATTACAAGTAAGGGCTATCGCACACAATTGACATAACTGCATATGCATAGCATAAGACCGTATGTACCAATGAGCATCAAGTATTAAGTCGCCATATTGGTGTTCGATGCTTAATATTCGATGCTCATTGGTCCATACGATCTTATGCTATGCATATGCAGTTATGTCAATTTGTGTGCGATAGCCCTAAGCATTGGAACGCAACTATCCATGCACCATTCATACGGAAAATCTATAGTGTACGTGACATAAATTATACATTTTCAGTGAATGAACATCGGAACGCTAGCAATGAATATCGGAACACAGTCCAAGATTGCCGACTTCGGTCGTGATGTGTGGAGGTAGCTTAACGTGCACGCTCGGCCATATGTATGTATGCTGTATGTACCTGCTGTGCGAACGAGTGCGAAGGAGTCGGGAGAGGTGCAGACCGAAAGCTACTGCGAAAGCCAGGAGGCCGCCCGATGGAACCGCCGTTCGCCGTGTTTACGTCCGTCACCTAATTTTCCCCTCGACGCTCGCGTTGTCCTAGTTTCGCGCAACAGTCCCGTCCGCAGCGAGTAGCGCGTTTCGCCCGTATCTCTAACCTATCGCCGACGACCGCCGCACGCGAGAGAGATGAATGCTATGCTCCTTTGATAGGGACCACCGTCGTACAACAATTCACGTTTGACACGGGACAGTCTGTCAGCTCATCAGCATCGTCGGAACGTCGTCAAACCATCGATTGAAGGCTGACGAGCGGGAAACGCGGCGTTCGTCCTAAGTATAGAATCGTTTTTACGCAGTTGCCTACTACACGCGGCTCGTGAATTCGCGCACTGCTCGTGCGGATACGTGGGGTGTGGCTGCCGGTTTGTTTTTTGTTTGCAAAACGTCTTTGGCTACGTCGGCCGCGAATCGCAAGGCGCAGGCACGCGGCGCGACAACGAGTCAAGGTTAGGCGAAGTCGCGCGACGAGAACGATGGTGAATAGTGTCGCCGTGCCGACGGATTGTAACCTAGACCGTTGCATGCGTGTTCACGTGCCGCGAACGATTTCTCATTTCTTCCCTTTTTGCTCGCGATCTTTCTCGACGAAGCAGCGTTACACGTCACATTTGCCCGAGTTGTGCTTGAATTACGATTTATATGTAGAAATTGTGCGACGGATAAAAGACCTCGGGGAAGATAAGCGTGTTAGACACTGACGGTTGATGTTTTCTGTTGTTCAGGTAGACATACATACCTACTACACTAGTGCATATAGTAATGTCTGTCCCTTCTTCGTCCTCCAACAATATATCTGACAATAACAAACTAGGCGGTACTAGTCCTAGTCCAATTGAGGGTATTGAGGGAGTCCCAGGCCCAAGTTCCTTGGGTCCTATGCATTCTGTGTTGCCACAAGACGAAGAATCTGAGGATTATGGAGATGAGGAGGATGAGGATGACGAAGACAGCAGTGACGCAGAAAGCGGGGTAAGCCAATAGCAGATTTACTTTATACAGTGTGTTTCCTAACAACAATAAGAAAGAAGCAGATGGCAAAACAATGGTAAGTATGTGCTTCAATTATATGCTTTACCTTGCAGATCATTGTATTTTAACTGAACAAAAGACAGAACAATTTGACAGAATTTCAAAAATACTTGTGCTTCATTACAATTTTTTCCATAATATTGTTTTTTATCTTGGGGTATTGTTTCTCCTTATGTCTCACATAGTCTGTTTTAGAAACACTTTATATCATATTTATATTAGTTATACATGGTTATATTTACGTTTCAACTGAATAAATTTAATACAGTTTCAAAATATTGTTTCCTAAGTTTTGAAATATTGTTTATCCTTGTTTCATACAGCCTCTATTTTAGAAGTACATCTGTATTATATAGTTATATTTCATCATATTACATCACATTATATATAGTTATATTTACTTTTTAACTAAACAAATTTATAGAATTTCAAGTATGTTTGAGTTTTATGAGAATTCTTTCTGCAATATTGTTCCCTCTATCTTGGAATACTATTTATCTTTGTTTTATAAACTGCTTTAGGAACACATGTGTATTATAGTTATATTTACATGAGTTAGATTATACATAGTTATATTTGCACACTATATATTGTTAATTAAATTAAATTAAATTATAAATATTGTTATTAAAATAATATATTTTACATTTCTGTAATCAGTGTTTTGTATCATGTTTCTAGATTAGTGACATTGAGTTGTTCTGTGACCCTGAGTGTGCAGCAGAAGTTGAGAGCAACAGTAGTCAATCTTCTTTATTGCAATCCCAATCACTGCTCCCAGATCATGTTCAAACTTCAGTACTGCATACCTGCGTGCCATTGGATGTCGTTCAGCATCAAAGAAAGCGAAAGAGCGAGACAGAGAGTTGTCTACCATGTAAGAAGCTTATCCCAGAGGAAAAGTCTCATTCAATGTTAGTATTGCCCTTCTTTTTCGACTGATAAAAATCAGTTATATTCGTAACACGTGCTGATCTTTGTAACATGTGCTGACCTCTATCCTTCTTTCAGGACCACAAGAAAACTAGATGATAAGGGTAAACATGTGAGGTGTGTCATTCCTACTAAGGATAATCCTCCTCCGGAGATGAACAGTTGGCTTTTGCAATTTCAGGTATTTGCACAAGAGTTTGTGAGTGTTCTGTCGAAATATATAGTATATAGAACGTCTGTCGACGATTAGATTAGCTGTTAAAGCTTATCCAAACAAACTTGCATAATTGCACAATATACACAAAGAAATTGACCAATCGTGTGTCTGATATAAAGGTCATCCTTTTACTGCATGGATCATGATCGGCTAATTTCTTTATGCATATGCAATATGTGATTATGTAAGTTCTTCCGTCACGTTTGATGAGCTCTTGAAAAAGCGGCCGGAAACGATTTTTGTTACAGAGGTGGTCAAACGCGGAAAGAATGTTAGCAATAGACGAATTAATAGAGCGATGTGAACCCACGCAAGTGCGTCACATGATGCAAGTGATAGAACCGCAATTCCAACGAGACTTCATATCGCTACTACCAAAAGAGTTAGCGTTATCAGTGTTGGCCTTCCTGGAGCCTAAGGATCTTCTGAGGGCGGCGCAAACTTGTCGGAATTGGCGTTTTCTGGCGGACGACAATCTATTGTGGAAGGAGAAATGTAAAGCCGCCGGTATAGACGATCTGAAGGACTTGCCGCTGCCTAAACGCAAGAACTGCCGTAACAGCAGTCACAACTCGTCGCCATGGAAGCAGGCCTACATGCGACAGCATAATATCAAAATGAACTGGAGGACGAAGCCAATCCGTACACCGAAAGTGCTGAAGGGTCACGATGATCATGTAATCACATGTCTTCAGTTTTCGGGGAATCGAATTGTTAGTGGTTCGGACGACAATACTTTGAAAGTGTGGTCTGCTGTCACTGGCAAGGTAATTAAACTCTTATCGTATATAAATATATGCATAGCCTGATTATTGTGGCAGAAAGAGAGAAAGAAAGAAAGAGAGATAACTGAGAGAGAAGCAAAAAATACACCTTGTTTTTCTGTTTCAGTGTTTACGGACATTGGTGGGGCATACTGGTGGCGTGTGGTCTTCGCAGATGTCTGGCACGATCGTTATCAGTGGTAGTACGGATCGTACATTGAAAGTGTGGAACGCGGACACTGGTCAGTGCATTCACACTCTGTACGGTCACACGTCGACGGTGCGGTGTATGCATCTACATGGTAACAAGGTCGTCAGTGGTAGCAGGGACGCGACGCTCAGAGTGTGGCAGGTGGACACGGGGGAGTGCTTGCATGTGCTCGTGGGACATCTAGCAGCGGTCAGATGTGTGCAATATGACGGGAAGTTGGTGGTCAGTGGTGCCTACGACTATATGGTTAAGGTTTGGAATCCGGAACGCGAGGAGTGCCTTCATACCTTACAAGGACACACCAACCGTGTTTATTCCCTCCAGGTAAAATGCGCCGGAGCATTCTGTTCTATTATCTTATTTTTAACTCTTTGAGCTTCCGGTTTAAGGAATGCGGCATATTAAAAATAAAAGAATTCTTTTAAAATAAAAAGAAAATTAAAAAATGAAAGTCTTTCAAGATTGATCTCTCTCTCTTTCTCTATGTCGTTTAATAGAGAAATTTTAATACACTATCTAATGATAATTTACATATTTTTTTAAAAAAAGAGAATCTTTTTCATTATTTTATGTTTTTTCTGATTCTTCATAATAAAACTTTTTTTCTGTGTATTGTGAAATAACTTTTGTCAAATATATTATTTCAATTGACATGTCATTTCAATGTACATCTATTTGATATCTTTCTGTCAGAATAATGCTAAATTTCTAAACTAAAAACCGGGACTCAATGGATCAAACGTTCGCCTCTTGTCTCTCGATACTGAGTGCTTCTTTTTTTGCGATTTCTTTTCTTTTTAGTTCGACGGTGTGCACGTTGTTAGCGGATCGTTAGATACGAGTATAAGGGTGTGGGAGGTGGAAACCGGTGCTTGTAGACACACCCTGATGGGCCATCAGTCTCTCACCTCGGGGATGGAGCTGCGCAATAATATCTTAGTGTCGGGCAACGCCGATTCTACCGTTAAAGTGTGGGACATTGTTAGTGGTCACTGCCTTCAAACTCTTTCCGGTCCAAACAAGCATCAGTCGGCGGTCACTTGCCTACAGTTCAATAGCCATTTTGTGATTACGTCCTCCGACGATGGTACGGTAAAGCTCTGGGACGTTAAGACTGGTTTGTATGCTTTTCAGTTACCTCGAGTTACCTCTGACTCGAATTACGTGTACGTTCGATCGTTCTTCGAATCAACTTATCATCCTTTTGATTGCAGGTGATTTCATTAGGAATCTAGTTGCTCTGGAAAGCGGTGGCAGCGGCGGCGTCGTGTGGAGAATTCGAGCGAGTGATACGAAACTAGTGTGCGCAGTAGGTAGTCGTAATGGTACCGAGGAGACGAAATTGCTTGTTCTTGACTTCGATGTTGAGGTAAAATAGTGCGCTCGTTTCACCGCGATGGATCAATCGCCCCCTTTGTACGACTAATGTACATATTTGAATTAAGTAGTCCTAAAGCTATTCTACTGTACAATGATACATGTATTACATGGTGTGATTGTGATAAGACTGTGTACGCGTCGTAAAAATCGGGTGGTTTTGAAAGCGAAGGAAAAGGAACGAGGGATGGAGGGGGAGGGAAGGGGTGAGAAGAGAAGAAATTGATGAGCGCGACAAAAGAGAGTTTAATGAATGTATGATCTCCTGGTGGATTTTTAAAAAAGTGCTCGTCAGAAAACAATTATATATAAATATATATACATACATACATACATACATACATATATATGTGTATATATATATACGTATATATAATAATCCGTGGTCGAAAAAAAAGAACGCGCGTGTGCGCGGTTGTTGTGGTGTACAAAAAGAAAGAAAGAAAAAAAAGAATCGTGAAATTTATAAGACTCATAAGAAAAAGAAACTTACGGGAAAACGAGGAGCTTATCAGTGTACTTTTCAATTTTCGCTGTTGTAACGATTCAGTGGAATCATTGGCGGTGTAAAGGTAATGAAAAAGAAAACAAAAAAAAAGAACAGCAATCCATCACGATCTATTGTACGTATATAACGATTTATTATGTGGGCATTTAGCAGCATTTGTCGATCGTGGAAGACAACAACGGGGCCGCATCGTGCTAAACTTCGGGGCAAAATGACATTATTTGAAGAATCTCATATATATCTCCCGGAGTAAACGAGAAAGTAGAGCTGATGACGATTCCTATGCGTTGTCTGGAATATACAGATTCCCCTTGTTTTTCTTTTCTAACGAGAAAAAAACTTTCAAACGCCTGTTATACATCGAGCATAATGAATGTTTATAATAATTTATTGGTTGATCAAACTATCAAACTGTCTCTGCAGCTTTAACGTAATCCCGGTATAACTTTACTTGTACAAGCATCGATCTGGTTAAAGACAAATATTTTTGTAAGCATTTACAAGCCGATATTTTCATATTGTTGACGTTTTAGATGGAAGTACTTTCGCCGATTGGACTGCAAAACGACTCGAAATAGGAATTCGATTAGTAAAAATCGCCTTTTTTCTGTAGCAAAAGACAATTTTCTGTCATAGTGCAATAATAAAAAAAAAGAAGAAAATAGCACAGTCATTCATGTGCAATACAGATTTAATGATGAATACAGTACAAGCCTTAACCTTTGTCAACATTAGCAATGTCTGATGTGTGAGCTTTAACATGCAAGTATCAGTGTTCTTGGTCTAAATTAACAACAGGGGCGAGTGGACTTGTGTTAAGAGAAAGAAAGAGAGGGAGAAAAAAAGAGAATATTTGTGTTAGCCAGATCTTTCCACCTAGTGCGCATTGTGCGACGAAGAAGACTTAGACTCATCATCGCGACATCAATTGTCACTGACGAATTTTATATGGATTCTGCTGAATCAAATATCAAGAATGGCATTATCTTGACCTACGCTATTTGTGCAAATGCATCAAATCTTTATTATTGGACCTAGGCTAGACTTAGGTGTCGTGTTTATTTGTATATTGCTCAATAGTTTATATTATATAAGAATGTGTTACCTGTTGTATCATTTTTTTTATATATAAGAAATAGAAAAACATGTTGCTGCATATTTTAGATTTTGTTTTTTCTTTTTTTTTTAAATTTATTATTACGAATGTGAACATGCGACGTTCTTGTGCTAAGAAACATATTTTGTACAAAATAAATATTCAATTTCGACTTCTTTCTATATAAAACTGTGGATATATGCTTGTTTTGTTGTGCTGTACAACCACCGAGAAATGTGTCTTTCATTGTTCATCGTCGACCACGACACAAACTCGTTTGTTCAATGAACAAATCAGGCCCGCGTTTGTGCCACCGTCCGGAGCACGTGTCTCAAGAGCATTCAGTCTTGCTTTCATAAGGTCACGCATCGTTGAGAAAATGCTTGTATGCACCGAGAAACCTTCCAATGTTACTTCTTTGGTGTGAATCGCGTCGATTCGCGCGTTACGTCTCGACTAGGATAACGAGCGTGCAGCCTACACAGGTAACTCGTAGCTCGGTGTTCTGTTCGCGAAGGTCCTCACGCTGCACGAGGTAGCGGTCGCCGCACCTGCACCGATAGAACAGCATGTCGTCGCAGGTTGTCTCTTCGAGTTCGTCGGGCGCGAGACGAGCGTACACGAGGTCGTTCTCGTTCTCCAGTTCCTCCTGCCTGCAGACCGCGTCGTACTCTCTTCTAGATGGCGGATGTCCCAACACGCGCCAAGCTTCTTGAACTTCGTGGAACTTATTCCTCAAGTGGTCATCCTTCTCGAAGGCGTTGCTCTTGTCGGGATGGAACCGCAGTAGACGCGCGTGGTAAGCACGTTTGATCTCCTCGTGAGAGGACTTCTTGGCGCAGCCGAGCACCTCGTAATAATTTACTTGCATTTTCGATCGCAGACGACACGTATTCTTTCTCCTTTGATTGATTCAAAGTGCATCCCACTGTTTACTTAACGCAGCATATGATATGCATTGTGATCTCTCAACTAACGCGAGTACCTCATGGTTAACATAACCTATCGCAGCTCGTGTCAAACGTTAATTCACGCTATGTTCCTTCCTTCCTTCCTTCAATATTTGGTTAGAGGAAGATTTCACGCTATGTTGTGATTCGTACAGGATAGCCTAATGTAGGATTCACACTGTCCGATGTCCGACGTACGACGTACGATATCCAATAGGAGAACAGCTTTCTAATATAGAATTCAATTTTCCATTGGAAAGCTATTCTTTTATTGGATATCGGACGTCGGACGTCGGACATCGAACGCGATGTGAATAAGGCTGATATTTCACGTGTCGTATGACCTTTATTTCCCTCTCCAGGATAGAAATGAATGACTGATTGATTGATTTCCTTATGTGTTATGCATTATGCGTTATGCAAAAGTCTGTGCTCAGGCCCTTAGATACGGCAACAATGAAAACTTTTAAAAAGTTACGGTTATAGGGTGCGTTCCGTTTCCACGCATGATGCGCATGAAACGCAGCGTTAGAGTGACAGAGATACGAGAGTGAGATAAAAAGAGAGGGAGAGCTCTCGGGTGAGGTTGTTGAACCTAGGTTAAGTTAGTTCTTGAACGCATGAGATCGCATAGACTGCACTACCTCGGAGCTGATGCAGTTCATGCGTTCGAGAACTAACCTAACCTAGGTTCGAGAACCTCACCCGAGTGCTCTCCCTCTCATTTTATCTTACTTTCGTATTTCTGTCACTCTAACGCTGCGCTTCATGCGCATTATGCATGGAAACGGAACGCACCCATAGTTAGGTGGTGGGAAGAGACCTGTTGGCATCTGCCCTAGCCAGTCTGCCCTTGCAAACAGCCGCAGCTACATGCGCAGATATTTCTCGATCGAAAAAGTTCTCGACGTGAAAAGTTGTAACAATGACAGAAAAAGAAAATATTTTTCAATCATCAACAAGTGGAGCGACGATCGACTCTGATATTGGACAAGAGGACCTTACGTTTATGGTATCTTATATTAAACAAGACATTACAGACGGTTTAAAAGTTTGTTGTGAAATGTTAGAGTCCTTAAAAATCGCTGAAGGATCTCCAAATGAAGTTGTGACAAGTTTAAAAGCAAAACTTCTGGGGAAAAAAATGACAGAAGTCATTATCGAGGTTCTCAAAGATTTTGATTTCTACGACGACTATGCCCTTTTTTTTCCAGAGGAAGAAACTTTGCAAGAACATGAAAAAGAAGAAGAACCGCGAACTGATTCATCACCGGAGAAAACGGTTTCCACTTGTTCGTCTAGTACGTCCATTGCTTCACAATCAGAATCCGAGAAAGAGTATGAGCCGCAATGTAAGGAGCGTAAGATTGCTGATTACATACCATTGGAAAAAAAGATAAAAATTCTGAATATGGTAAGAGAACACCCTAAATGGAGTATACAAACAATTCATAAACGTGGAGGAAGTGCTCTTCAACGTAAAAGTGACTTGAAACGATGGCGTGCAGAAATCGAGCAAGGTGGTGGCATTAAAGAAAAATACGAGGCTATTAACAAATGGACCATTGATCATTTTCGCGAAGCCAGGGAACAGAAAAAAACAGTGACAACGCGAATGCTGCAACAATGGGCTTCCCAAGCAGCGGTACAATTTGAAAGCCTTAATTTTTTAGCGTCTCACACATGGGCAGTTAGATTTAAACAGACTTTTCAGATTCGACAAAGGAAAGTCACGCGATATATTAAATCGAAAAATGCTTTGGATATTCCAAATATATTAAAAGAAGCAGAAAAATTTCAAAAGCGCATAGCTAGGCAAATTTTAAAATTTGACAGAGATTATGTAATCAATACCGATCAAACCGGCTGTGAGTATCGAGTCGTGCGAAAAATTTTATCTACTAAAGGCGAAAAAAGCACTGAAGTTTTTCTCGGAGATTTCAACAAAATCACCCACAGTTATATGGCACAGTATGCGATAACTGCCTCAGGAAAACTGCTACCAAAAGTGTTCCTGTGCATGCAAGAACCGAAAGGGGTGTTTGGTCCTCGTGTCTCGGCTGCAATCGACAAGTTATCGGAATACTATGGCAATATACACGTCACCGCCTCGAAATCAGGTAAATTAACAAAAGATCATTTTAGCCAATTCGTCGTAAACATTATCAAACCATATTGCAACGACAACGAATTCCTGCTCATCTTGGACTCGTGGGGAGGGCAAACGGATCCAGCACATTTTAATAGTGTTTTTACCGACGACGACGGAAATTGTAGTTCAACAGTGGAAATTATTCCACCTCATTGCACGCCGTACTGCCAACCATGTGATGTATACTTTTTTCAACAAGTGAAAAACTTCATCCGAAGAATCCAAAATTCTGTTGAAGTTTTACAACAAAACCGGCAGCTCTCTTCGCGAGAAGACGCAATAAAGATTCATTCTTTAATTCATTCACAATTATCATCGGGAGTTTTTACAGATATGATCAAATTTGCTTGGTTTGCATCGAAATTAATTCCTGAAAGAAATGTGTTTCGAAACGTCAACGAAATATGTTTCCCTCCGGACTTACGGAAAAATAAATGTGTATGTGATACTCCTTCATTTATTCATTGTGCAAACTGTAGAAAATTTATATGCTTTAAATGTTTTTATGATGTTTATCATCCAAGTAATTGTTCCGCAACGAAATAATTTAGTTTTGTAATAAATCCGCAATACTTAAATAATTTAATTTTGTAATAAAAATATTCACATTCACATTTCAGATGTTTGTTTATTCTTCTTCTATGATTAATTATTTTAAAAACTAGAAATTTAAAATACTGTTAATATTATTTCCAATTAAATTTTAAATTTAAACAATTTGAAAATTTAGATACGTTGTCTTTATATGTTATCCATTACAAATAACTTATATATTATTATTATTACTTATTTATTATTTCAAATATTATTACTTGAATTAAAATTCCCTTAAAATTAAATTTAAATTAATGTTTAGAATGTGATATTAAATTAAATTTTCTATTTCAAAAATTTGCATACTATATTAATATCATTAAAATAAATAAAAATAAATAAAAACACTCATTAAAAAAGAAAAATTATTGCTCACCTCCGTGAGCGAACTTGGATCTTACGAATTATGAAGCAAGCACCTAACTCACGAAGCCAACTGCACTGGTTGGAAGTACATACAGTTACCGGAAAGGCTCATATGGCGCGCTGCGGTGCGCTTCGGATATGGCCAATTTTCACAAATTTATTACTCCGAAACTAAGGCCTATTCTATCAAACGCCGTGACACGTATCTTTTTTTTTATCTCCAGAATAATTAAAAAAATTGGGGTCGAAATCCCAAAGTGAGTCACCTGGTCCTCCCCTTGTAAGTTTAAACTTCTATTGGAAAAGTCGACTCTTAAAAACACTTTTATCGATAGAAAAGAGTTCAGAATAAGGACTTTAAAGTCCAGGTGTTTTCTTAAGAGCAGTGTTGGAAACTATCTACATTTTAGAAGTGAATTATTTTGAGGTCTACGCATACTTTCTTCTTCTTGCTTCTTCCACTCACCTGTCGAGCGTGTGATTGGTGGTTAGCTTCAAGAACGTTAACTTCATAAGATTTTCGGGACTGTGAGCCTAATTTCTGAGAAGTTTTTGTTTGAAACGAGTTGTTTTGTCGTTGTAATAGAAATTGGTGTAGTAACAAATAAAAACATTATATTATGTAGAAATAATACGCATAGTGGACTAGTTTCACAAGTTAGAGTTGCATAAATTTTGTAAAGTTGACGGTTCTGAGACTGACTGCCAATCACACATTCTACGAGTGAGTAGAAGAAACAAGAGAAAAAAGTAGGCATCGAAAATAGCTTATGAAAATAGTATTGAAAGTATAATTCCGAGCACTGTTTAAAAAGATACCACATATATATCTCTAAAAATAAATATATTTTGATTAATCTATTTCTGCAATTATATTATTTATATATATATTTTTATTAATCTTTATCTACGCAGTTACATTATTCAGTACAATAGTCTTTATTAAAGCAATTCCAGGTAAGAACAACTGAATTTTCGTCAATTTCCTAATTTTTCATTATATAATATTTTAATATTTTTTTTGCTAAAATATCACTTTGTAAATCAAATTTTGGAAGTATTATTTACACTTATTTGATATCTATTAAAATAATATTAAATATTTAAAACAGAACTTTAAGAGACTCAAAGAATCAAAACCATAGCCTGCAACTTAGACGAGAGAGAGAGAAACATAGCAGCCTAATAATAACAAATGATGATAAATTAAATTTGTGCAATTAAATCTTAAAAGAAATTATTTCAGTTTGTAATTAACCCTATATAATTGAATCTATGATATTGAATAATTCAATTGGGCGCATGTGAAAAATTTCAAAACTTTTCGTTGATCCTTGCTAAACGTCGATGCAATCGAGATCTAACCGTGAATTATACATTGCGTGTAAAATTAATAAAGATACTTTATTAATTCACAACGACACCGTTCACCATTGTAGTAAAGCGAGATGAACGTGAGGAGTCTTTTACTTCGTCGACGCATCTCGATTGCGGATCGCGCGAGCTATGGATAATGACGTTAAGGAGAGGAACAATGAGACAGCGTACTTTTTTGCAACTTTTTACATTCAGTCGTCTAAGATTTCATCAATGACTGCGATAGACGTTAAAACCTGAAAACTGCCAACGCCTCTCCATGTTCGCGCCGATGCCGAACAGCTCTTGCTTGAACACCTGCGGGAACCGTTGCATCAGAACTTCGACCTCGTTTGGCTTGATACCGGGCTCCATTTTTTGCAAGTATGACCACAAATAATCCACGCTCGCACCGAACGGATGAATATGTAGAAACGTCGCTATCAGTCCTGAAATTCACATCACGCGTTATCAGCGAATCACAAATTAACGTTCTTTTCACCCGGACAGCATTTAGAGAGAAAGATATGAAGATGCTTAACCCTTTGAGCTCTGATTTTTTTATTTTAGAGATTTAGTATTATTTTTTAATAAAAGAGGATATAAGTGTAAATATTTTTTCAAAAAATTAATTTGAAGTGGTTTCAGTAAAAAAAATTAAAAAATTGAATTTAACATTAATGTAATAATTATTTATTGACACTGATCTTCGTTAAACATATCATCACGTTTCGACCAAATACTGATCATTTTTAGTACATAGTTAATTTCAAACAGATATTAATACATTTATTATATATATTATATATTGGATGATTATATTTTAACAAACTTGTGAATAGAAATAAAAATTTCGAAAACTGAAAAATAATGTATTTTAAAGAATTAAAAAATTCTTTTTCAAGGTGAATAGTGACTATCATTAGATTTCCTACCAAACAATACAGAGAGATCAATGAAAATATTTTTATTTCCTTATTATTATTTTTTTATTATATGCCGTATCCCTAAGGATACGCCAGGACTTAAAAGATTTAAAACGTGTTCCAGTTGTTCATCAGAACTTTGAGCCTCACTGACAAGTTCTTCATTATTACGAGGACTATGACGAACTTACCGATGAGCTTGGCATCTTTTTGAGTGACTTGTACGAAATTGGAGGTAAGAATGTGTTGCTTCGGCGTGCGCGACTCCTCGCTTATATCATCATCTTTGTCGAGAGTGATGATCTCGCTTTCCCTGGGCTCTTCCTTCTTTGTGGCATTCAGTTTAACGGTCAGATCTTTAATCTTCTGGTCATCCTGCGCTTGTTGCTTGCGCGACTGCATCAGTTGGTCTTGCATACCTTTCAGTGTCTTTTGCAGCATCTTCATCTGCTTTTCCTTGCCGTCCATCTCGGCTTTTGTCTCCGACTTCAAGAGATCTACCTGTATGTAACAATAGAGAAACTCGTGAAAAAATTTTTTTAAGATTTTCGCGCGGATCTTAAATTAGTGAGTCGACTCATGATTATGATTTATTTATTCATATCTATGGGAAATTACCTCTTTGGAACAATGCACAATTTCCAATTCTATAACACCTTTACAAAGAGAAGAAAAAAAAAATATTAGAAATAAAAGCGAAGAGAGAGAGAGAGAGAGAGAGAGAGAGAGAGAGAGAGAGAGA